ACTTGGAAGTGGACCTAATTTCCACTTTGGAGACACTTGACACCCACGTCACAACACCACTGAGAGACAATCAAGAACCCTATAGTGGACACCACTACTGAAAAGAAGTGACTAAACTGAGTAGAGCTCTGTGCGGAGCTGTGAGCGCGTAGACATTCCGCTGCGCCGACGATTGCCGAGAGACTGAAGCGTGCGAGTGCTGTTCTTCGCTGCGGCGATACGGTACGGCCGGGTAGTACAGCCACGCCCCTTTCCAGCTCCCACTCCGCGCGTCTGCTCCCAAAGCGACTCGATGTTTACGTTGACCGGTAGCACTCAGACGCTTCAGTCTCTCGGCAACCGTGGGCGCAGCGGAATGTCTAGGCGTTCACACAGCTCCTCTATTCGGTTTAGCTGCTTTTTTTCAGTAGTGGTGTTCACTTTAGGGGTTCTCGATTGTCTCTCAGTATTGCTTTCGTGTTTTAGTGTTGTGACGTGGATGTCAAGTGTCTCCAAAGTGGATATTAGGTCTACCTCCAACTCTTCTGAGAGCAACAGGATATCTGCACAGCAGACTAGGTGAGCCTTGTATACTCATCTAGTTGTGTGTTCGGGTTGACATCCTATGTTTTTTTTTTCTAATAAATTGGGCATATTACACATTTTTGAAATCAGGATTGAAAACTCCATTCATTTGCGCAAAAATCCAATATCGCATTAAAAAAACTATATGGCAAGAGATGAAACAACATATTGAAATTTTAATTATGCCATACTGTAGAGGGAAAAGTGGCAATGTTAATGTGCAATGTATTTTGAAATTCCACTGCAAATAGGGTCAGGAAAAAATTAAAACGGTTTTGGGAAATTTCCGTCTTTCTCCGGAAATACTTTGAATTTTGGAACTTTCTAAGCAACGTTGACTACCTAAATACGCAACTTTGCCCTCATTTAAGCGACTTCGTATTTCATGCAGTTTCCGAGATCCTAATGGTGAGGGTTGAATTTAAATCACCCTGTATATGCTATACTGTATAATATTACCTTACGAAATGAAGTAACCTTATCAAATTGCACTACAGATAATATCGTGCCCACCTCGTATATGCACATCGCGTTTATATAAGTCACTCGGATCGACTATCAAAGATGCAGTATTTACAACCCCGTGGCGCACGGCAGGTTCAACCGATACACTACTCGACTGCAGAACATATTTATTAACTAAATATTCCAAAATTCAGAAGAACCTACTTTGCTGCATGACCATTCCTTTATCAACCCATGAGACAAAGAAAAGAGGCATCGTCTAAAGAGGATCTGTTTGATTTTCATCAATCGTATGCACCGTTGTTTCATTCTTTTTTGCGATCATCGGAACATTATAGGTCTAAACTCAGTATTGCAATTTTCAAAAAGGTGATACTACCACCTAGTTCGCTGAACGCGATACTACTGCCCCCTACGCGGGTAGCAGGAAACTACATACATTTCCCGACATCTCTGGATGACAGTTCGGCTTAATGAAACAAACAATGCAACGCAACGTTCATACAACTTTTGCATAGTACGTCAATGCGGGTAGCACAGTGAGCAATTTGTGCTCCCCTGAGTAACGAGACTCCTACGTGGTGGGCGACAGTTATTCGTTTGAGCGGACTGTCATTCGCATTCTTCCTAGTCAGATTCCAATATCGAACCAATAAATGTCATTAACTTTTTCATAGTAGGTCCGGTAAGAACGCTCCACATTCGTATCTCCAGTCTAAAAATATTTCAAATGTATTCATTTACAATTTCAATACTTTTACGGCATACTGTGCAGGCAGTAAAGATCGTTACGATGCCTTTATTGAGGAGCCAAAGCTTTTTCCCTAACCTTTATAACCTCCATAGCTTCAGCAATGCAATTAAGTGGCCGGCAATCTTCACCGGCTTTCCTCGTCTTAACGCCGCATTGCCCCTTTTTTTCAACAGCCTGTCTGGACGAGTATTCTTAATACTTTTCGTTTAACCGAACTACGTGACGTTGGGTGCGAGTGAGCCTATTTTTTTTTTCACCGTAGACGCAAAGATGTTTTTAGGTGAGAAATATGGAAAAGCGTGTCTGAGGAGGAAATGTGTCGATAAGTTTTCCTTCTCCTAAAAATAGCTTTTCCCTGTTTACGCTCGAATACGTCGGTAGCATATAGACATTCATCATATAGACATTTAAGCTACAAATCCTCGCTGGGTGGAAAAGAATATGGCACGGATTATGGATCCGTCAGACCTTCTGCTGGCAAGTGTCACTTATTTGAACTCATCTCTTATTGATGACGCGCTATGGTCGATTACGAAACAGGAACTGTGAAGACAAAGTTTACGCAGTAAAGAGCAGCTAGGTTAGGTTTTAGGTTTGGTCTTCGTCACGCAAATGAAAATATATGCCTGCAAAAGGAACTCTTCAGACTTTTATTTTTATTTCAACTCTGTCGGGCCCTAATCCCTACTTCTCTACTTAATATTATAAGGGTGTTTGTTGCTCAATCATGCCAAAATGGCTGAAGAAATCTCGATAAAATTTGATACAGAGATTATGGTTTCGAATAGGACATATATGCTACTTTTTATTCCAGAAGATAACTATGAAATCGTAAACTTCTTGATTTTCATAGTCTTTTCTCTCCTTCAGAAAGGCTGGGCATATATAGATTTCTACTGTGTCGTGACAGCGTCCGCACTCTCCTATTGTGAGGCTATGTTTTCTTTTTGAATCGTAGGAAATGTCAGGCTATATAGTCAAAATCACGAAAGATGACTATATTACGTCATACCATAAATTGTACTGAAGTAAGTAAGTAAGTAATGGACGTACGTCGATGATAAAATGACGGTGCCAAGGAACATAATGACAACACATTTATACTATGATTATTTTCATTTTATTTCATGGTTTTGAGTGATACCTTAATAATAATTTTAGTGGGAAGTTTTTGTATTGAAAAAAAAACCGTTATGAGTAAAATATCTTAAGACAGGAGCACCAAAGACCAAAGTATTATTCGAAAAAACCTAACCTGCTTTAACATAACCTAACTATTCATCTTTCAAATATGATCGATCATGCAACATGAAAATATCGTCTATCTTTATCGGATACATGCAAATTAGCAATACAGCTTGTTTAGACAATAAAATTCTGTTTGTCTCTGTCTAACATATCTGAAACTTCATTAAAACTATTCACAAATCGCTGTGGTTTGTCTTCACTACAGACTAAAATCGTGACGTAATCGTCATCTTTCGTGATTTCGACTATATAACAGTTGATGTAGGTCAAAAGCATGAACAATTCGATGCAAATAGATATTTGTAACATAACCTCCAAATTGAGCGCTGACACCGAATGGTAGAAAACTATGAAAATCAAGGAGGCCTTACAATATATTATCTGTTTTATTAGCCTGAAATAATTTCCTACAATTCAAAAAGAAACCATAGCTTCACAATAGCAGAGCTCTGGCGCTGAGACGGATCAGGTGAAATCTGGAAATACCCCAGCATTTCTGAAGGAGAGAAAAGACTATGACCATCAAGGAGGCCATACATACAATAAAATAATTATAGGAACGACAGACGATACGGCCCTTTCGCCCTTACTGCATTTTTATTATAAATGCGAAAATGTGTATCTTTGTATGTATGCGTGCTCCTTTGTCATGCTGATACGGTTGAACCAATTTTGATGAGTTTCAGCCTATATTTGTAATTAAGACCTCCGAGATAGTGAAAGTTATTAGGGAAAACTATTATTCTTCAAGTTGTTCATGAGATTCAAATATGGGTCTTGTATATTTGGTAATTTGAAAGCAATTACAAAGAAATTTTGGAAGTGGTGCTTAGGATATTTCAAATCTCATTTCAAGTTAAGCTAATAGAAATTTATCGCGAAAACTATTTGACCTATGAACACGAAATTTAGCAAGGAGATACTTTATGAACAGGACATGTCAGATCAGAACTGATTTCGCAACAGGGCTGGATTAAGGCGCCTAGTTTAGTTATATACATGGCCCATGAGCACGAAATTCTGCAGAAAGAGGAATAGAAAAATTTAGTTTGTACGAAAGTTAGAATGTCCTTTATTTTTCTACTGGAGGTATCCTGGCAGAGAGGTAGTTTATAGGCAGTTAAGTACAAATATCAAGACAGGCTCGTACTATGAAGTATAAAAGGTACTCGCGAGTTTGTTTGAAAATCCTGCTAGATACTTAAAACTGGAAATACTCTAAAGATAGAGTATATTTAAACTAAGGCAAGATTTGAGGACATAAAGAGAAAGAGCTTTTGGGCTATGACCATTTTATATATATATATATATATCTTGAGACGTAGTCATTGTCGTCTAGACCAGTTAGGTGAAAAATAAAGCTTCCGCCTTTAGTTCGGTACTTCGACCAAATTCAAGCAATGAGGACTCTTTATACTTTATTAGTCTCTAGCTTTCAATGGACTTTGCCACCTTCATCAGGAGCTGCAATAACATTGAGAAGAAATAGCAACTATTGTGCAAAATGATTTTAAATTACTTACATTAGTATGTGAGATTTTTGCTAAATGTTATTAACGGTTAGGTTGAAGGAAACATTTAGTAGCCTGGTGAAGCTGGATACATGGTACATTTGTTAAAATTAATATAAAATACACACAGCTGTATATCAGGAATATATCAAAACGTATTAAAACATATTTAGAACGAAAGTTAAAATTACATCGTGAACCACCTGATGCTACATATATATATATATATATATACCTTTTGTGACATGAGATTAGGCAGAGAGATATTTTTTATAATGTAAAATCTGGTTTAATACACTGTGTTAATTTAAAAATCTCGTTATTTCAACAATTTTAAGTGTACGAAATCGCCGGTGACAGCTAGTACTGTCCCCTATAGAATTATTTCCTATTTCTAAGTATAAAAAAATGTTTTTTCTGTTTTAAGTTTGCCAAATATTTTGATGCGTTCTTTCCAGCTTTCTAAACTCCTGCGTCAATCCCGTGGCACTATACTGTGTGAGTGGCGTCTTCAGAGGACACTTTAACCGATACCTATGCTGCAAGGATCCTCGATGGCCTAGAAACACACTTTCCCAAGGCAACTGCGAGACAAGTTTCAACTCCACTTATAGAAGAAATACGCAGGTAAGCGGTCAATATTCGCATAATAAAATAAGAATAGACATCTTCGGGTGCATATAGAAAACAAAAAATAAGATCTATTTTCCAAAAAATATGTTTTATTTTCTTGTAAATGATAGTTTCTTATTGAACAAAAAGCTGCTCCACTCATTTCAGAATACAACAGTAGAAACACAAAGCTTGTACCGAAAAAGCACTCTGGCGCGAAAAAATACCGAAGAGACTAACTTTCTTACCAACCACAACAAGGCTGACATTCCAGAGGTCGGATTCAGGAACACCATGATCCTGCGTACGCAGATGGACTTTGACAAGGGTGGATACGGTAGCTGAAAGTTGGTGACCACCTACGAGGGCTTCTAGGAAGCTACCAAGAGCATCTGTACATATCGCAAACATTCGCATTTTGGTGAGCAGAAATCTGTCTATCTAAAGCAAAGCACCAAATTTCGCAAAGTATATTTTTTTAATAAGCTATATTCTTCCTAAACTTTGGTACCTCTTCGGCAAAACGTTCGTCAAACTCAATTCTGGTGATTACTTTAGCCATTCCATATCACGAAAGCGAGACATCAACTTTGTAGTGTGGCAAGTGGCCCCATCTTGCTTAAACCACACCAGTAAACTGTACTAAAAAGGTTGTCTGAACTGACGCATAAAAATATTTGCTGTGGTGATATTGAATGGATCATCATATCTTGCACCCATTGACTCTTCCTATAGGGTAGCCTAAATGCAAGGTTACTACGATTTTCCGGGGGATATCGCTGACTTGAAACAAAATATGCGCCACGAAATAAGAAACGTTGAACCTGTTATGCACCAGCGTGTTTTGCAAAATGTCACGAACAACTCTGCTCACTTGGCGCTGCATTTTCAGAAAAACATATCAATTTGAAACTCTTAAATCGATTCTTTTTATATTTTAATACAAATTGTGTACATGCTCAAGCAGGGAATAAGATGGATATTTTAAAGGTAATGGGAAAGGAAGTATGTTGCACATTTGCAACGCATCTCTAGAAACTAATAGGGGAGAAGTTTGTTGGTATAGGGATTGAACGCCCGTGTGTCTAATGTAAAGGAGCAATGACGTATTTATAATTCTGGCAATTTTGCTTCTAATTTAGATTTATTGCCAACTTCATTCGATTAAAACCACCAATAATATCACCCCACGCTCCCAGTATTAAAGCACGACATAACCAGTTCTGCCAGAGGCAGGCACGTTTCGGTTGAAATATTTTATTACAAACTTGGAAAGCGTGAAACTTGTGTGAAGGTGTATAATGCGTATGGAATTAGATTTGATTAGATTAGATGCTTCGGATCATACATATTATAAGACTCCTCATAAAGGTTGATTTATAAGTCGTGACTAAAAATGAAACATCATATATAGGACCGCATTTCAATGGGGGTCTTCTATGCAACATTTTTCCCTTGAGGGCTTCATTGAAAAGATACGAGGGGTTGAGGTTTAAAGATAAAAAATATCTTTTTGTTATATCGTCCATACCGTCAACTGGTATGAACTAAAATTTGGTATGTGGAAGTATTGTCCAAAAATTGCGCGTTTCGAAACAAAAACTGTGGCGTACTATATTTTTTTAGATAATGTAGACAAAACTAAATCCACATACCGAAATTTAGTTCATTCCAGTTGACGGTTTTGAAGATATAAAAAAATTTTTATTTTTAAACTTCAACACCTCGTATCTTTTTAATGAAGCCCTCATTTTTGTCAGGACTTGTGAACCACACTGTACGAGCCCCTTCCCACTTCAGTTGGCCCACTTCAAGATTTGTACCAAAATATGCCTTTATAAACTAAACATGACGAAACTATTTACTTCTAAAACAATTTATTTTCTCAAAAACATTTTAGATACACTCCAGTCGTAAAAAATACATATTTGAAATCACTTAGACCGATAACTAATTGAACCTCGGGAACCTGGGACCTCGGTTGGCCGCGTGGGTCAGAGTGTCGTGCTACTGATCAGCCGGCCGGCCGGGCTGCGAGTTCGAATCTCGCCTTCGCCATGGATGTTGTGTGTTTGTTTTACTCAGCAGCGGTGGCCGCAGTAGTAGATCCTTCGGTCTCCTGATCAGCCGCCGTGCGCTGTGCGGGTTCGAGTCCCGTCCCAGGAGAAATGTTTCTCTTGGCCATGGATGTTGTGATTGTCCGTAGGTGGTAGATGGTCTCTGACTGTCGAACGCGGCGGTTCTCGTAGGCGGAGCCAGAATGTGTGCATGTTGCATGCACACGTGTTCCCTCGCCAGAGTCCGTGTGGCGTCCCCCCTTTCCCATGTATCCCCGATAGCCCCACGGTACCCAATGGGTGCTTAGGCCTTAGGCCTTCGTGGTAGTTGGAGTATAAAAAAAAAAAAAAAAAAAAGAACATCTGAACAAATAAACAATGTGCGAATAAATGCGCGAAGTTAACAAAGCAATAATTGAAAGATTACCATAGGGTAACATCACCTTTATTTTTTGTTACTGCTGAAATTCTTTGGGGCATAGTGTTAACCAAGTTTTGACAAAAATTTGGTGTAAAACAATCCCATATTTCTTGAATCTTTTGTCTCAGTTTGGTGATTGTACGAGCAGGATGTTGTCGTAGAACCTTTTTCATCTCGTGTCACAAAGTTTCAATAGGTGACAGATCTGGACTGCTAGAAGTGGTACATTATTTTCTTCCATCCATTTTATAACCTTTTTTGAGGTATGACACGCTGCACCATCTTGCTGAAACACAAAATCTTGGCCGGATGTCAAACATTCTTCCATCACTGGTAAAAGCGATTCTTCTAAAATTACCAAATATTTGTTTGTATCCACATTTCCATCAATAAAATGAAGTTTTTCTACTCCTTTTGATGACATACTGCCCCAGACCATAATGGATGCTGGAAATTTCACTTTTCTCTTCAGACAGTCAACATGGAATGCTTCATTTTTTTTGCGAATAACTCTACTGCGACTGTCACCAACACAAACTTCGAATCGGGTCTCATCACTCCATTGTATTGCACACCATTGTTGAGGTGTCCATTGTCTATGTTCTTTAGCCCATCTAACCCGATTTCTCTTTTGCAGTGGAGTTAATATTGGCTTTTCTTTGGCCTATAAACAAGTTGTGCAACTTTAGGGTTTTTACTTCACTTTTTTTATAAGAAAACTTACCTTGCAAGTGCTAAATCCCAGTTTGTGGGCCTCTCTATGAGTTGTGGGCCTCAAAATTCTCCTTCCAACAGCGTCACTCCACAGAGCACGTAATTGTAAATAATTGGCACGCCTGTTTTTCAGGATTATTCTTCTTAATGCTCTTCGGTCGGCATTTGTGATATTACTTTTTTTCACATATCGTGGCTTAATATTAACTGAACCAGTTACGTTATATCTTCTAACAATATTTCTCACACTGTACCTCGATAAGTCTAACAAAATTGCAACTTCTGAGTTTGATTTCCCAGAATTAAAAAATTTAATTATCAGTAACCGAATTTTCTCACTAATAACCTTTCCTCTACCCATTTTGAAAACCTTAACTACCCAAAACTATTTTAGACGTATTCTGACAGCTGTGATTAATAAAAACAATTGTCATGGCTTTTATTTTTCACAGCTACCTATGCGTTATAGACTTATTTTGCATTGAAACGAAAATAGGTTGATATGCTGTAATTGCAACATGTGTTATTTTTATGCTGCAAATTTGATTAGGGAGTGATAAAGTTGGGGTTTTCTACTATACATTGTCAAAATATTCATTGTTAATATTTTAAACCTATAACACCCTGCTACATTTTTATTATTTGTATTTGATAAGAAAAAACTAAGATTTCAATAGTTGGGCCAACTGAAGTGGGAAGGGGCTCGTATATTATGCCTTTATAGTATCTATCATAACAAATTAAAATACGGATAAGGAAATGTATTACGGAGAGAAAAAGCCAGTTTTTGAAGAACAAACACACGTGCACGCATAAAGACACAGTGAGTCATTAAACTGAAAACCAAATTACAGAGGGCAACACAGAAGCAGGAGGGATAAATAAAAGTTAGGAAACAAAATGCTGAAAGTTATTCAGTTAAAAAATATCAAAAGAAGCAAATATATATATATATATATATATATACAAGTTAAACGTTAAGACCTTCAGCGTTTTTGTATTAGCAGACTTCTCAGCTCCATTTTGAACCTCATTGGACAATTGACATCCCTGAGTATTGATGGCAATGTATTGAATACTTTGGTGCAGGCATAGGTTCTTTCAAATATTATGCAAAGCGTGAGAAGCGTAGTGGAACAAGCTTGGCCGCGAAAATCTTTCATATACATATTCCCAATATATACAAAAATTTTACGAGTGATGTCTTTTAAGTTTTGCATATAGAAACTTTGTAGGCCGCGCGGATCGAACGTTAGTACTGAATCTTAACCTCACTCTTTAGTAAACTTAAATTCAACGTTTCACAACGATACGTGCGGTGTTCTCACTACAGTGAATTTTTAAGTGTCACCAAGTCATTAGAAAAATAGAACTCAACCGAGAACATTTTCGGGCCATAATTTATTACAACTTTCAGAGACAATTATCGCAACAAGAATGCCTTGCTGAGTTGCTGTCTGTTTTCGGCAACGAAGCGCCACATCAATCGACAATTTCCTATTGGTATGGAGAAGTCAAACGTGGACGAGTGAGTCTTAGCGACGATCCCAGGGTGGGTGCACCAAAAACGGCAGTCACCCCAAGAAAACGACACATCGCGAGATTGAGGCGTCCTTGAAGATCTCAAAGACCTCAATTCAAACAATTTTACATGAAGAATTAGGAGTAAGATAATTAATTTCTCGTTGGATACCGCACCTGTTGACTGAAGAGCAGAAAGCAGCCAGGGTTAATTGGTGTCAAATAAACGACAGACGGCTGTTTGGGTGTTCCAAGGTGAAGAAAAACCAACAAAAGTCATCCGTTCTCGGAGTGTTTCGAAAAAGGTGGTCGCGACGTTTGTGTCAAAAGCGGGTCATTTTGCAACAATTCCTCTTAATGAGCAAAGAACTGTTACTGCGGATTGGTACACACAGCCCAAAAAACAAGACAGTATTTAACGGAAGAAAACGTGGAATTATTGGACCATCCTCCATATAGTTCCGATCTACATCCTAACGATTTCTTTACTTTCCCGAAAATTAAAAACAGACTGCGTGTGCGTGTTGGATCTGCCAGCAAACGGGTGATATAAGAGCTTCGAAAATTGGTTCGAGCGCATGCAGAAGTGTATTAATCTTCGTGGAGAATACTTCGAGAGACAATAAAGTCAT